AGGAGACTGTCAAGAAGGAGGAGTCAGGCGAGCTGACGGATCCCGTCGCAGATGAAGAAGACGCCAACGCCAGGAGGCAGAGGCGGAAGGATCCAAGCTTTTCAGAGGAGGAAGAATACACGGCCGACGACGCCAGGAGGCAGACAAAAGAACGCCAGGAGGCAGACAAAGGCCGACGCCAGGAGGACAAAGAAAAGTTCAAAGCAAAGCTGAAAGAAAAGATGAAGATCAAAAAAGCTTATAAGAAAGCAGAAAAGGCGATTACGAAAGCAGAGAAGGCGAAAGCCCTGGCCGACGACGCAGCTGATGACGCAGAGCGCGCAGATCTAAGGCTAGAGCGGATCAGGAGGACAGGAAAAAATAAGGGACAGAAGCAGGAGCGCGAGAAAGAGGATGAGGAGGACCACGAGAAGTGACAGCAGAGGAGGTTTGAGGAAGACCAAAAAAGACAGGGGCAGGAGGCGCGAAGCTGACACAGAAGGTCGACGAAGACGCAGGACTGCTTCTGAGGAGGAGGAGGAGGAAGAGGAGGAGGAGGAAGGTGTCGTTGACGAGCCAGTTTGGAATGCGAAAGAGCAGAGGAAGATCAATCGACAGACGAGGTCGATGGACAGGCTGGGCGAGGAGCTCGCAAGTGCCACTACGATCGACGCGAAGCGCCAGGTCATGGCCCAGCTCCTCCCCCTGTACCAGCAGATGATCGATGATCAAGCTAAAAGGTATGGGCTGAGGTGAGGAGGAGGAGGAGGAGGTGAGCGTTCCGCGCGGAACTGTACACCGGCCGTTGTGGCCGCCGCGCGGAGCGCCAGAATCATCATCGTTTCCACGCTCATCATCGTTTCATGCCCTTCCCCACCTCATCGTTTCCATGCTCGTGACTTGTATCGTCTCACGTCTGGGGGGTCACAGCGGGCAAATGACGGCGCGAGGGGCAGGATGAGGAATAATGACCATAATGAGAGCATGAACGCGATGAGGATGAGAAGCAACAAAAATCAAACGATCAGGAGGGATCGGGATGATGCGCTGCCCCCGTTCCTCCGCTTCCTGCTCGTGCTTCTCCTCGATCATCGTACTGTTGATGATGTTGCTCCGCCTCGTCCTCTCCCAGCCCCTCCCCCTTCTCTCCTCCTCCCCCTGCCCCTCCCTTTCCTCTTCCTCGTCCTTGTCCTCTCTTTCCTCCTTTCCTCCTCCCCCTCCTCCTCCTCGTCCTCTTCCTCCTCCTCGTCGTCCTCCTCCTCCTCCTCCTCCTCCTCCTCCTCCTCCTCGTCGTTTTGATTTTGCCGCAGGTCCACATGGCCGCGGTCTTCACGACAGCGCCACTTTGGGCGTGGGGGGCGCATGCGGGCGGTCCCACTGGAGGCTTCGGTGGACTTCCCTATGGGGTCGCGAAGCGTTGTACTGGGTGGGTGAAACTGCCAAGTTGGGTGTGGGGGACGCATGCGGGCGGCCCCACTGGGGGCTTCGGTGGGGCTCCTATTGGGCCACGAAGCGCTGTACTGGGTGGGTGAACACGTATACACCATGTATGCCACAACAATGTGCACGCCATTTGGAAACAGCACAGAATTTCACGTTGGATGTATCACATATTGTGAATCAAAAGAAATACACGGATATTCTATTTATTGCTTAAATATTTGTTTGAACATACAAACCAACCTAATTCCAGATCTATTTTTTAGATCTGGAAAATCACGATCTATAAAGTAGATCGTGCTACCCTCTGGGAACAACGCGTTTATGCCCGGCCTCGCCAGGGCCAACCGTGCCATGCTAAATTCAGCCACGGGATCGAGGGCCGCCGACTGGCCGCGCGCCCTGCCAACCGCCAAGGGGCACGCGTCCAAGCCGGCGCGGTTCCGGGCAGCCCGGCGCCAGCGCCTCAGGTTCCCAGCGGCGATGTTCTTTCGCAGTTGCGGAGCCAATGGCCGCCTGGGCTGCCGAGCCCCGCGCGGGCCCGCTGGGGGGCCGCCCGGCGGCGCGCCCGCGCGCCGGGCTCATCGCCGGATGCGCTGAGCCGCGCGAGCGAGCATTGGGCAGGGTGGGCAGTCCCTAGACAACTCTGCGAGACACCAACGCCGTTGTCTGCGACCCACAGGGCCGCCGACAGCTAGACATAGTCGTCTGCGGCATCTCGGGCAGCACCGCGGTGGCCCCGCTCCGCAGGGGCGGCTGGCGCTCGCCGCGCACCTTCAACGCCGGCGGCGCCGCGCTGTGGGCGGCCGGCGGCGCCGACGGGCGCTGGGAACTCAAGCGTTTTCACGCTTGTCCCGCTCTGGGGCGATAGGGGCCCATTTGTTCTCGCGCTTGTCGAGCTCGGTCGGGGGCGTCTTGAACCCGCGCCATTGGTCCTCAACGTGCTCTTGCCCTGTGTCGGCCTGGGCGGAAAAAGAGCCGTCCGCTGGATTGGGCGTTTGCCACTGCGCCCGATCAGCCTGCCGCGTGCGCGCTGTTTCAGCATCCGCGCGTCAGGGCGTGGGGGGGCACGCTGAATTGCTGGTTGTTTGCGCGCTGCGATGTCCTGACTTGCGTCAGGGGCGTCTGGGGGGCATCGGGGGTGCCCGCGGGGTTTAAAACTGCATTGGAGTGGTTGTGGCTGTCCCATGTGGGAACAGGCACCGCTGCTCCGTTGCGTTTGGGCCTGCCCGCAGGAGCGTTGCTGCAATCTCGCGCCCCCCCGGGGGCCGCCGCGGCCGCGTTCGGGGGAGCTCTCTGGGGCCGCGCGCGCGCCCGAGAGCGATTTCGGCCAGGCGCCGCCTCGTCTGGGTGCGGGTATGTCTCTGGGGGCAACGTCGACGCGCGTCGGCGACGGCGCCCTCCGACGCGTGCTGGGACTTAGCTGGGGCGGCGCCGGGCGGGCTTTCCAGGGGGCGGCCCGCGGCGACCGCGCCTGGCGCGCGGGGCCCCAAGCGTTTGGGGCGAGGTCGGGATTGCAGCGGCGCCCGCCCAGGACGCCCTGGACGCATTTCGCGCGTCGAGCCCCAGACGCTTGATTGGTCACTCTGCCGATTAGGGCGCGCGCGCCTTCGGTGCCAGCGGATGCCCAGAGAAGACAGCGTCCTGTAATGTCCCATGGGCCGTCGCATCTGCACTTGTGCAACCGCCGTCGGCCGCGGCGCGTCGCCCCCCCCGCCCCTTGCCGCCCCGCCTGGGCAAGAGCGCGGGTATCTTTCGCGCTCGACACCGAGCGCTGTCGCGCCCGTCCTGCTCCAGGGCGCTCGTTGCCCGCGTGTTTTTCGCGCTTGCTTCGCTCTGGGTCGTTAGGGGCTGCCTGCGCGTTTTCATTCCAGCCCCGCTTTAGGGTGTTGCGAGCCATGTGTTTTCGCGCTTGTCCCGCCCTGGGGGGTTAGGAGCCGTGTATTTTCGTGGTTGTTCTACTCTGGGGCTTGAGGAACCCGCGCGTGTCCGCGCTTGCCCCGCTCCGGGGCGTTAGGGGCCCGTGCGTTTTCTTGCTTATCCTTCTCGGGGGCGTTGGGGGTTTGAATGCTTTCACGCTTGTCCTGCTCTGGGGCGTTCTATAGGAACCATTTATTTTCGCGCCTGTCCCGCTCTGGGGCGTCAGGAACCGAAGTGTTTTCACGGTTGTCCAGCTGTGAATGGTTAGGAACCCACGTTTGTTTTACGCTTTTCCTCCTCTGGGGCGTTCGGAACCGATCTGTTTTCGTGCTTGTCACATTCGGGGGCGTTAGAGGAGCCCACGCGTGGTCAGGCTTGTCCCGCTCTGGGGCGTTCGGAACAATGTGTTTTGACGCTTGTCCCGTTCGGGGACGTTAGAAACCCATGTGTTGTCGCGCTCTCAGGGCCACGATCCCTTGAAACAGCGGTCGCGCCGAACAAGTGTTCCGTTCTAAATCAGATATTCGACACGCAGGGCGCGCCGTCCTCGATCGGGCACGCAACAAGTCATCATTCTTTCTGCGAGACACGCGCGGGCCTCGAGACACCCTCGAAACAGCTGCGCGTAGGGCGCGCCGCCGTCGAACGGACACGCAACCAGTCATCATGTGTATTTTTGGTGTAACATGTTAGGGTCGCAAAATTTTGTCATTTAGTTTGCACTCTTCGCCAAACGCCTTGCGCTTTTCAAGCGAAGGCACGCGGAGTTTTGTGGACCCCGTCAGGCAACGGAGATCCGATATGGAGGGGCGCATATTCCTCGAGCGGGCACGCGCGACACGCAATTTTTCTAAACGCCATCGGATTTAATTGCGTATTTCATAGAGCGAAAATCCGCTGGCCCTGCGCGAACTTGGCGCTGGGGGACAGGTTTACCATCTAAAGAGAACTGTGGGCCGGAGCCTTCTCCGGGAAAAAAGGGACGGCGGGAGACGGGAACGGGCCGCACCACCGTTTTTCACGTCGCGCGCTCTCGAACGCGGTTTGCGGAAGCAGCCTCTGCGCGTGCTGCGGTCTTGCCTTCTCATTCACCGCGCGCTCTCGTCCATGCCACCTTCCGGCCTCACGACGGAGAGCCGCCCTCTTCACTTCTTCCTCGTCCTTTTCCCCCTGTTCCTGTTCTTGTTCCTGTTCCTAATAACGTGAGCAACCGTCGGTTGCCGCCCTTCCCCCCCCAGGGCGGGTTGGCGGCCAACCGTTGGGCCAGGTGACGGTGACCCCTGGAGCAACCTTCGGGGGTCACAGGGTGGTAAGTCGAATAGTGGCTGTGGGAAAGGGCAAACAGAACAGGAGGAGGAGGAGGAGGAGGAGGAGGAGGAGGAGGAGGAGGAGGAGGAGGAGGAGGAGGGGAGGAAGGAGGAAGATGATGACCTCGAAGCTCTTCCCCCTCCTCTGCCTCCCTCATCCTTCCCTTCCCTTCCCCTTCTGCTGGCGTTGCTCCTCCCGCTCCCGCTCCCGCTCGTCCTCCACTCCCGCCCCCCCGCTTGTTGCGTCTCCCCCACTCTGCCCTCCACGGGGGCGCCAGGGAGTGCGAGCGCCCGCGACCTCCAGGCGCCCGCATGCCCTCGTGCCAGCATGTGACCCCTGCTGGTGTGATTTCGGGGCTCGAGCTGGTGAGGGCGCGGTGGGAGCAATGGGCGCCATGGCGAAGGACTCAGCGCTGCCTGTGGGCGAGGCGCGCCGCGCGCCTGGTCCGCAGTATTGTGCGCAGTGCCCGTGCTTTTCCAGGAGCGGTGGGTGTGGAACGACACTTCTGCGCACGGAGTGGACCCAGATGTCGGTTGGCACTCTTTTTCCTGGCAGCGGGAGCCCTGAGGCGCCCCAAGAGGCTTCGTGGAATTTCCCAAGAGTCCGGGAGAGTTTAACAGGGCCCCGAGATGTCGCCAAGACGGAGGTTCCAAATGACCCTCTCTCACACCTCTTCCACGTCATCCTCGTCGGGCTCTTCGTCGTCCTCTTCGCTGTCCTCCTCCTCGTCTCCCACTCTGTCCTGCTTCACGTCTTCCAGGTCCTTCTACATGTGCTCCTCATGCTCCTCATCCTCCTGCTTGTCCGCGTTTTCCTCGTCCTCTTGGTTCCTCTCCTGCAGCGTCCTCGTCGTTCTCGTCGTCATACTGCTCGCATTCCTCCTCGGGGGTCTCGCTGTTTCCCTAGTTTTGCACGCTGTCCTCCTCCTCGCCCTCTTCCTCCTCGTCATGCTCGTTCTCGTCCTACCCTTCCTCGTCCTACTCGTCTTCCTCGTCTTCGCTTGCTGTCCACCTCCTGATTTGTGCTGTCCCCCCACTCATCCATGCTGTCCTCCTCCTCGTTCTCTTTCTTGTCCTCCTCGTGTTCTTTGTCTTCTTTGTCTTCCTTCCTCCTCGGCCAGCTCCTCCTCGTGCTCCCCCATCGTAGTCTTCTTCACCGCCCTGTTCTCTTCTCTTCCTCCTCCTCCTCCTCCACCATTTCTTTTTCTTATGAATAACATCCTGTCCCATCCCGAGGCCATGCGGAAAGGGCAGGCGGTGCATTCCGCCTGAGACTTTCTTACCACTTGTGAGCCTCAAGTTTAAAAGCTGCAGCAGGTTCACATATGGAGGGCGGGCCCATTCCAAAATATGCCTCTTGCCTCGGCGCTGCGCGCATTCGCTTGAAACGTTTGCAAGAGCTTCACGGGTTGAGAACAAGTCGTTCTCAACATGTTGCTCTCGCCTCATCGCCGCACACACATCGTTTTAACAAGTCGCAAGGGCTCCACGGATTGAGGCGGCCCCTTTTCACAGTGTAATTCTCGCCTCAGCGCCGCGCACGTTCTTTTTAAACAGTTGCAAGAGTTCCGCCGATTCTCATGGTAAACGTACCAGAAACCCTGTTTTGGAGCGATTCAGGGTTGTCAGGGCGCAGCGGTTATGTTGATTCGTCGTGTTGAAGTCCCAGGAATGGTGCTCTGGCACGATTCAGGATCGTCAAGACGCAACAGTCAGGTTGACTCGTGGACGTGAAGCCGTGAAAATTGTATTTTGGCACGCTTCAGTATCTTCAAACGGTTGTCTCCCAACGGGGCACTTCCCTCAGTGGAAATATATCCTTGCAGGGCCTATGACGAGGGAGCATGGAGGGAGGGTATATTCTAAGATTGTCGATGTGTCTTGGGTTTACACTGGTCCTCCTCCTCCTCCCCCTCCTCCCTTTTCGCGCCACTCCCGCTTCTCCTCCGTCTCCTCCACCTTCCTCGTCCATGCGGTTGCCCAGCGACAGCACCGCATGTTTTCCCCTGTGGTTATTTTCGGCCCACGTGCGTGCTCATGCGCGCGCATATCTCAAGTTGCGGCGCTTCCCGTCCTTGTCCGGCCAGGTTTACGCACATGTGGGCGTACACGTCTTCCAGCATCTACCGCTATTCTCGGCGCGCCGCAGCCATATTATGCCCAGGCTTTGCGGGGCATGCGCAGTATAGGACAGTGCCCTACTGGGCGGCCCGTCCCCGGTTTTTCCACAAGCCCTCCTGTGCGGTTGGGTCCTCGCTTCGCATACGCGGCGTCGCGCGACCGCCTCCCTCCTCCTTCCCGCCTCCCCCCCTTCTCCCTCCCACTGTGCTGTGGGGGCCTCGTTTTCAATCCGCAGCGCTGCGCCCTGTCCCCCCCTCTTCCTTCTCTCACTTACCTCTGCTTCCCGTCCGCGCACTGCTTTCGGCACACCCCTCACTCATTTTGGCTCAAGCCATTTTGGCTCAAGCCATTTGAGGTCAAGGGGTACTCCAAGGCCCAAAGGTCAAAACCATAAGTTCCTATCATTTTCCTCCCGTGGATCTTCATACACGCACATGCTGTCTCTCTTTGCTCTTCTTCTTATTCTTATTCTATGCGATGGTTCTTTCTTCGGGCGATGGCGACGCGACTGCTGGATACCCATTGACAGGCCCGCTTCATGAAATGGATGGGCTTGAGGATGATAGCGGAGCAACTGGAGAAGGTACAGCAGGGGGCAGAGGAGGTGCGGAAGCGTCAGCGGGTCTCCATTAGTGTAACCAGAAGCACGTATAAGCAGTACTCGAAGCCTCTACAGCAACACATCGCAGCTGTGAAGACCCATGGTGTATCCCGAGATGGATTACAACAATGCCTGGATCCGATCGAGCACGATATGCATATGCTTAGTGTTCGGATCGACGCGCTCGAACAACATGGTACGACGTCGTCATAGGCAGCTTCAGGAACAGCGCCAAGTAGTGCAACGGAGATCAAACATACAATTATGGAGCTGGAGAAACAGCTCGCGACCATGACGGGGAACGGCTGGGAACGCAATGTTGTTATCGGTGTGTTGGGTGATTTGTTTGAGATTCTGGCATGTCTGTGTAACTTATCAAAGGACAAGCCGTTGGCCACGTGCACAGGGGGGTCGGATGAGGGGGGAAGGCTTCTTAGAAACACCCTGCTTTTTAGAAGGCGCGGGCCACGTCTGTAGATGTAAGGCCGGCGCCTTCTAAGAAGCAGGCCCCTTCTAAGAAGCCGTCTCCCCTCCCCCCACCCACCTGCGCGCCGCCAAGAGCCGACCAGCCAATCGAGAAGAGCGTGCCCTAGTTTTGTTGTTCGGCTTGCGAGCGCATGTCTTGGAATTGGGGCACTCCAAAGGGGAAGTGAGCTTGGACACAGCAGAGAGACTCACGGTGGCGGAGGGCCCAGTGGTGACGGTCAAAACCATGAGCAATGCGATCCAGATACATTGGAAAGGGCCTTGGGCCATTTTAGAGGAGCTCACCAGACGGCAGGAAGGGCAACACCTCGCTACTCGAGCTAACGATGCTTTGGCCGAACTGCCAAGGGGAACAGGAAGGGCAACGCGATCGGCCCATGAACTTTGGAAGGAGTGTAGACATTCTGATTGGGACCAGGCAGCCGATCGTGATGCACCGTGCCAGGTGTTGTGCTGTGCTGCGCGGTGCTGCTAAATTGACATGCATCGTGCCGCGATGCATTGCGTTGTGCTCTATAGCGCTGTGGAGCAAATCGTCCTTGGCATCCAGATCCTGACATAACTGATATGGATCTGAACCTCGAGCTGCCTGAACGCATAGCTGGCCCAGAGCTGGTTGCAGTCGTATCGCTTGGGACGCTCAATCAGCTCGAGCTCAAGACCCGATTCAGTTCCGAAGCGGGGCGAGACGGCTCGAGGCGCCTGGGCGCGCCACGGGATATGCCAGGGCGCACCAGGGATGCGCCACGGGATATGTCAGGGGACGTGCCGTGGACGTGTCAGGGACCTGCCGCGGGACGTGCCGAGGCGCGCGCAATTGGGGCGTGCCAGAGAATGTCGGTCCAGAGGACGTGGCAATTGACGAGCCAGGGGGCGCGGCAAGGGACGCGCCTCGGAACGGGTACGGGAAGCTCCAGGGAGGCAAGCCTGGGAACGCGACAGAGGACGAGCCAGGGGGCGCGCCGCTGGACGCTCCGGGGGGCGCGCCAAGGGACGCGCCACGTGGCGCGCGAGGGGGCGTCGCGTCAGAGGACATCGCAAGGGGCGCGCCAGGAGGCGCGCGAGCGCGCCGGGGGGCGCGCCACGGAACGGGCAGGGGCCATTTCAAAAGACTGGACCCGGGAAGGGATTTATAAGTAGGATGCATGGAGGCGTTTCTAAGCGCTTCAGGTGGGTGATGGCCAGTGACAGTGTTGAAGGTACCAATGGTCATTATATTGTGGCAAGGGCTGTGTTGCGCTACTCTGCGCCGGGCCGCGCCGCGTGCTGACGTGCCAGGGGAAACTTTCCAGCGGAAGTGCCGGGGGGCGCGCCAGGGGACATGCGGCGTTGAATTCTGCCGCGCGCTATGGCAGTGCGGATCAAGCCGTCCTCGGCGCCAGAATCCTGACCGAATTTGTTGCAGTCGAAGCGCGCGGGGCTCTCGACCAGCTCGAGCTCGAGGCCCGATTCAGTTCCGCAGCCCTCGCTCGAGACGCCGTCGCAATTTGTTCAGGCATAGGGCCGAACGACCACGTGTTGGATATCACCCTGCGCGGTCTCGACGAGTCAAGACGTGGTTCCAGCTCGGGGCAAACGTGTTCGATGCCCTCCTGGGCGGCCTCGTCCCGCTCTTGGGCGCCAGGGGCAATGCTTTTGCACGTTTGTCCCACTCTGGGGCGCGCGTTTTTTCACAGTTGTCCAGCCTGGGGCGTTTGGGGCGCATGCGCGTTCGCGCTTCTCCCGCCCTGGGGCGTCGGGGGCCCCCGCGTTTGCGCGCGTGCCCCGCTCTGGCGCGTTGAGGGCCCATGCGTTCTCACGCTTGCCCTGTGTTGGGGCGCTCAGGGCCCATATGTTGTCGCGCTTGGCCAGCTCCGGAGCGCGGGGAACTCGCGTATTTTTACGTCTGTTCCGCTGTGGTGCGTTATGAGTTCACGTGTTTTCACGTTTGTCCCGCTCTGCTGCATTGGGGGCCCATGCGTTTCAAACGCTTGCCCCGCCCTGGGGATGCCGGGTGCTTTCGCGCTTGTCCCGCTCTGAGGCGTTAGGGGCCCGCGTGTTTTCGCGCTCGCTTCAGAATGCATGTGCTTTCGCGTTTGTCTTGCTTTTGGGCGCTGGGAAACCGCGCGGTTTTGCGCGCGCCCCGCTCTGGCGCGTTAGGCGCCCTCGCGTTTTCGCGCCAGTCCCGCCCTGGGGGCTACTTCCATGCCAGGGGCCAACGCGGGGGCGAGGCCCGCCCGC